TTAACTACATCACCTCGGTGGACTTTCAACGTTCCTCTATGACTATAAATTTTAAACAATAGATCATAATGTCATCATAAAGTAGCTTGGCAAGAGGTTGGTGAAGGAATACGGCTGTAGTGATTGTCCGTGTGGCGACGGAATAAGAATACGGAATGTCACCTATTCATCCCGTGGGTGTCGTAAGAGCCGACTAAGGGTGCAAACTACGCAGGACGACAGCACTGCTAAGAGAAGGAAAACTTAAAACAAACCCTATATCAACCCGTTCGGCCAGCGTGGTATAGTAGGCCAAAACCTCCTTTCTAAGGAGAGGCCTATGTCCAACAGTGGACTGTTATAGGCTGTTGATGATGATGGATTAGTGTATGCCTTCCCTTACACAATTAAGTCATCAATAAGTTTTAGAACGTTAAACGCCAATTCTAGTAATAAAAGTGCGATTAAAATTCAGTTCCGATCACTGACTGATCTCAGAACTGTTTTAAAAGGTTTAAAAACAACGCCCGCATTAGGAATATATATTCCTGTGTCGCGGGGGAGGTTAAAAACATACATGAAACGGACACAAAGAACACCCAGACTCAGAACAACAATTTGTGGACCACACAAAGTGTCGTCCCATGTGGGGTTTGAACCCACAACACTTGGTGCAGTAGGAAGCGGTGTGGCGACCACTTAAACCACTACGCCATGCGTGCAGTTATTATTATTTTAACTAACAAATATGTGAATAATTAAGGTATGAAGAATACAATTTATTAGATGCAATTATTATCATGGTGTAGGCGTATAGAGGTTATTGATACTTTTCTAAAAGTTAATATTCTGACTGCACGGATGGCGTAGTGGTTTAAGCGGTCACCACGCCGCTCACTATTACGCTGAGTGCTGTGGGTCCGATCCCCACATGGGACGACACTTTGTGTGATTCAGACACAAGATTTATTGCTAGTGTTGTTAACAAAAAAAATATTTAAAGTTTTACTTTAACATTCCAATTTTGGACTACATGTTAACCAAAATTTGAAACATTGGATAATTTTTGCACAATTTGGTCCAAAACTCATGTCCAATTTAAACTCGGAAATTCTCAGTATAGTACTCTTCTAAATATCTGCCATAGATAATTCGTCAACCTTTTTAAAAGCTTTTCCCCAACTTTGCCAACAAAAGTCACCATACGAAAATGCCGGAAAACCACCAAACAAGTTCATGTGACACAATTTATTACCTCTATTCACACAAATATATCATAAATTGTGTTGTAGTACATCAGTGCGGGAAATAGCCACAATCAATTTAAGAGGGGGTGCCGCTAAGTGCTGAGGGGAGGGGACAAATTGCTCTCTAATGACGAGAGCTTGCTTGAAGTTTGGTGCTTTCTTTGCATTTACTCGCTATGATAATTAAACTGTTGATATTTCTGGCTTTATATTTTTCATTGAACTGCCGACTTGTTACGCTCAGTACTTCATGGGGTTGGGACATATTGATCAACGACGATCTGAAACAAACTACCATATATCTCTCTTAAAAATTAATATAAAATTTTCTGCCGAAGTTTTTCCTAAACCAGGTTGGGGTCGTCTTTAAGTCTACTATGGTACAGCTGAATTTAGATTTTTTACACGAAGCGACGGCTATTAGACGTCCACAACCGAAAGAAAGACTGTTGTAGAACTTTTTATTGCTCTAACTACCCTTAACACAAATGTGCGTATTTTAACCGGGAACGACGACTTAACGTGCTCTCCGAGGCATGAAGGGGTCTTAATGTGTTAGTAACTGTGATTGCTTAACTTTGCAATGTGTTAACCTACTCGGTTACCAGGTAGTCACAAACTCTCTATAAATAAAAAATAATTATATAATTAACTTTTAAAATGTTTTACTGTATCCAATGCACTTAAATCCCATAAAATTACACATGTGTTTGTATTCTTCATCCCTCAATTTTCCGCCCTAAGGTACTATTACTCACATGAAAATTTTCTTAACAAAGTTAGGATATAACATTTTACATTATCATCATCAATCATAAACAGCCTTTCACAGTTCACTGCTGGACATAGGCCTCTCCTTAGAAAGAAGGTTTTGGCCTACTATACCACGCTGGCCAGTCGGGTTGGTATAAGGTTTGTGTTAAGTTTGCCTTCTCTTTGCAGTGCTGTTGACCTGCGTAGTTTGCTCCTTTAGTCGGTCTTACGACACCTACGGGATGAATTGGGGTGGTGATTATACGTATTTTTAATCCGTCACCACACGGAATACACGCCTTGCATTAATTACTGGGAATAAAATAAATACATAATGTTTTTAGCGCAATAGGTAAAGTAAAATACTTTCTTAACTTTTAAAACAGTATTATCGACTCCGATGCGCCTACATAACAAATTGTAATAAAAAAAGACGAATAAAGCACAGTCCTTTGTTCTAATTGTGGAATTTATTTTGTAGGTATGGATTTAGAAATACTAGTGGTCGCCCTGTGGTCGAAATTTGACCATAATTCATTTAATTATAAAGGTTTAACTTTTTTACAATCAAAGGTTTCATCATATATTTAATTTATTATAAAATGAACCTACAGTTTGACCATACATTATAACCATGAACAAAAGAGTAAGTTTGGTATGAATGTCTGTCTGTTTTTCAAGCAGTAGTGTGCGTAATGTATATTTTAATTAATTTAATGTATTTCTAATGCATTTTATAACAAAAAAAATTATGCACTTCTTCTCCATATAATCTTTAACTCTGTCAAATTTCATGTACATCCGTTCGTGCGATTTCCCTAAAAAGGGGTACAAAGTTTTCGTTTCGCGTATTAATATAATATATCGATTTGTGCCCGATAAGAGGTAATAAACTTGCCTTCAGTGAAACTAGAATTATAGTCAGCAAAATACTTTAATACTGTCGTTTAATACATCTCTGTCTTCTGTAAATATAATAATAGTAAAAATATTTTTAGACCTCTTACACACGACTGTTTGATCCCAAACTAGGTAGAGCCTGTACTATGGTAACCAGACTGCTGTTAAACATACTTATATATTTCTAAATACAAACATATTATAGATAATATATAGTATGATCGTTCGTGTAGTGACGGATTAAGAATACAGCGTGTGACCACCCCTAGTCTTCCCGTGGGTGTCGTAAGAGCCGACTAAGGGAGGAAACTACGCAGGACAATAGCACTGCAAATAGAAGGAATACTTGAAACAAACCCTATACCAACCGAAAAGCGTTTTTTTAACCTAAATTTCCGAAACAGGATTGCTAACTACACCTTATGCCATTAAAAAAACAATTACAATAATATGAATGGTACCAACTCCGTTTTGTAGACTAGATATTTTGTGTAGGAGATTCCACACATCTCACATCTTATACTTAAAAGTGAAAGTGTGTATGTAACGCGTTCACGCCTTAACCACTATATCGATTTCAAAACTTCTTTCATCAATGAAAAGCTACATCATCAACGTGTAACATAGATTACTTTTTACCACGATAACCGACATACACGCGGGCGGAGCCACGGGAAACAGCTAGTCAATAATAAACGCAGATCAGACTCTACCCTTTTATTGCTACATATATAATTTCAGTCAATACTGTATTGAATATACACCTAACTCGTCTAATTATGAATTAATAATATCATGTGCTTGCAATAGTAACTCCTTAGGTTCTGGTCATCATTTTCTTAACCTTTTCCCAAACTTATTTAGGGTTCGCACATTGAGTTTTCTTCCTACATTCTCCTCTGTCACTCGTCACATCATTGCCTATACTTTTTGTTGCCATCTACTCTTTCACGCAGTCCTTCACTTCATTAAAAATAAAATTAGTTACCTAGAATGAAACTAAAATGTTGTTTTTGTATTATTTACCATTCAAATTAAAAAAAAAAGTGTAGTGTACTGTCCGTGTAGTGACGGACTAAGAATACGGAATGTCACTACCCCAATAGACTCGAAACAACGCAGGACACCAGCACTGCAAAAAGAAGGAAAACTTCACACAATCCCTATACCAATCCGTCTGGCCAGCGTGGTAGGTATAGTAGGCCAAAGCCTCCTTTCTGAGGAGAGGTTTATGTCCAGCAGTGGACTATTAAAGGCTGTTGATGTGATGATGATGATGGAATAAAAAAATATGCCAAAGAAAATTGTTGAGTTCCAAATTTAATCAATAGTGAGTAACAAGTTCGCACTAAACGGGGCACAAAACGATGAAATTTATACCGAGTGCTGACACTGGCAAAACATTCTGATCACCACCAATTACCAGTGTACAGTGCCAGCACAAATATCACTATCTCTATCTCTTTCCAATGAGTGTATTACACTATTGGTATCTCTTTTACGCATCACACAGAAGTGTTCTTAATCATTTGTTGCTGGGAATCAGAAAGCAGTATCTGCACTAAGAAATCGAGTTAAAATAATTTTATGCAACAGACTATAAGGTTAAATTTTGCTTGTAAATATTTTTTTTAGAGGTTAAACGTTGTTTGTTGAAACTGATCTTTATATTAACTAGTAAAGAACATATTTTCATGTAAACTTTTCGTGTGTAAAGCTATGTTAAATTTGAGTGCGATGTGATAATGATAGTAGTATTGTCATCATAGCAATAAAGTCTAAATTTGCTCGTCCAGTGGTTAGTTCTAATAAAATAAAATAACGTTTTGACAACACCCCGTATGGGCGTGGCGGTTAGTCATGAGTTTACGCGGGAATCTCGCGGTGGATGGACGTACCATTCTAAATTCAAATTTGTGACGTTTAATTTCTTATTTTTAAATTATTTGGACCAAAAAAATATTAAATATCAGTAGAAACTTTATGGTACATTGTGAAAAAAAATGATTTTTTAATTGTGGCCTGTGAAAACATTCACTAATGAAACGAAAAACAAGGATTTTTGTTTTAATTTTTTTTTAGATAGTGTTTGGTGTTGTGTTTAAGAAAAAGAAAGTGACAATGGAATCAAATATTGAAATAGGCGAAATAAAGAGCCAAAAGAAAACCCCTAAACCATTTTCTATAGAATCAATAATTGGAGACAGAAAATCTCCAGAAATAGACATAGAGAATAACATTTCAGAAAGTTCTAGAAATTCAGAAGAAGAAGAGAACGAGAGATTAGAAGGATTAAATCAGATGAGATATTACGCGCCATTTTTACAACAAAATGGATTTCCTTTTTTATTGGGATACCCTGAGCCGTGGTTATCGAGGGTGTTGGGGTCGGTACCGGGACCTGTGAGAGAGAATAGGGAGGAGGAGAAGAGGGAGAGTCCTGTTAGCGTTGGGAGTGAGGCAGAAAGCGATGGTGGAGAGGAAACCAATCCAGGTTTGTAAATATTGCTTAAGAAGCGGATTTATTCACCTTGGATTTATTTTATTAACGGGCCTGTGGGTTTAGTAGTTAGTGACCCTGACTGCTAAGATGGAGATCGTAGGTTTGATTCCCACCCGGGACAAATAATGGAGCGATGAGCATAGTGCTTAATTTGTTCTGTGTCTAGATGTAATTAATCTACAATATTTTTGTATTTAGAAATATATATTTAAGTAGGTATGTTTATCAGCAGTCTGGTTACCATAGTACAGGCTCTGCCTAGTTTGGCATCAGACGGCCGTGTGTAAGATGTGTCAACTTGTTTTAACTTGAATATTTAACTATTTAAAGAAGAAGTAGCTAAAACGCGCAATTTCAGCTGCATCTCTCAAAGGGAGTACCTACATTTTCCCCGTGTTTGTTTTTCATTGATGTTCTGCTCCTCTTAGTGGAAGTGTCATATCACACAACCTTCCCCGTTAAATAGGCTTTCCAACACTAAAAGATTTTTTTCCTTTCGAACCAGTAGGTCCTGAGATTAGCGCTTTAACTAAACAAACATACTCTTCAGCCTAATTAGTAGGTATAGAATTATAGATATCTAATTTTACCTATCCTATCAAATACGCCCCCCAATATTTTATTTATTTAATAACTTTATGCTCATAAGTACAATGGCGGACTTAATGCCATAGGCATTCTCTACCAGTCTACCTTAGGGTGGTGTGGAAATGAGTGTGGAGGTGCACTACCCTTTGGTTGAGAATTATAAAGTGGACATAAAAGAAGTAATGTTAGCAATACTGAGCAAAAAGCAATGAAATAATATAAAAATACCGACGTATACATACAGGAATACATACATTCATATTCATATATATTGTGTTATATATATACACATACATATATACCATAATATATAAAGTATCATATTTGTAATGATTCCGCTATATTCCGGTCAAGGATATTCTCATCTATTTCTTAAAATGTCCAGTATACGGTAATATACCTAATAGATTTGCTCGCCATTACGTAAACAAACAAATTCTTCAGCTTTATACCTAATACTAGAAAAATAAAACATTGACAATGAAAATATATTCCTTTCGTATGGTGACGGATTAAGAATACAGAGTTTTACTACTACTAGACTTTTTTACTTTTACTAGAGCCGACTAATGGAAAAAAACTACGCAGGACAACAGCACTGCAAAGAGAAGGAAAACAAACCCTATACCAACCCGTCCGGCCAGCGTGGTATAGTAGGCCAAAACCTCCTTTCTAAGGAGAGGCCTATGTCCAGCAGTGGACTAGTAAACCCTATTGATGTGCGAACAAATTAAAAAACAAACAACACTAAGCCTACTGGTCACTGCCGGACAAATCCGACCTCTTTAACAGAACAATTATAGTATTTTTATGCTACTGTTTCTAGTAAAACTCCGATCGGCTCGATCCCTTAGCGTTACGTAGAGATGTGGCTTCACTCTGCATTCTCTATCGCATATATCATGGAGAGTGCTCCGAGGAATTTTTCGGACTCATACCAGTCGCAAATTTCCGCCATCTTTCCACACGGCAAAATTTTCCTCCTCATTACCTGGATAGTTGGCGCCCCACTACTGTGCGCTTTTCGAGACACTTTTTGCCCCGCACAACCAATCTGTGGAACGGGTTATCATCTGCGGTATTTCCGGACTGATACGACCTTCAAACCTTCAAGAAAAGAGCGTAGTCCTTCCTAAAACGCCGGCAACGCGTTTGTCACTCCTGAGTTGCAGACGTTCATGGGCGGCGATAGTCACTTTGCTGCTCATCTGCCCCCTCTAACATAAAACACACACCACCTCGAAGTAGAATAGACAGAGGTGTATTAATTGTCAACATTATGTAGACTATTATATACCTACCTGTATATTTTTAGTCCCCTTTACGAATTTGGTGGCAAACCCCATTGCCGTCAACCAAACATACATATTTCTAAATGAACATACCTACTTAAATACATATATGTTTCTTTCTAAACACATACATATCTAAATATTTCAAAACTGAGTAGTTTTTTTGGTTGAACGCTAATCTCAGGATTTACTGGTTCGAATTGAAAAAATATTTTAGTGGTTGATACCCCATTTATTGAAGAAAGTTATATACAGGGTGTAAGGAACGTCGTATAGTGTATTCAGATGATGAGTCCGAACATTTGAACATCTGAGTCGGCAATTTCTGCCGGAAAATTAATCAGCTTTTTTCCTAATTTTCCATTTTTTCTGTTTAAATATGATATGACAATGAGTAAACAGAACATTTTACCGAAAACAAATAAATAAATACTGCATTCGGTTAAAAACTGCAATGTAATTAATCAAACAGCTGAAGCGCGCGGGGCCTTTCCTCCGACCGCCAACTTGTGTTAGTGTGCGTAGACTGTTTGCACGGAATACACATGTAGTTATTACTTTTGTGCGATACCTACGGGAAATGACCTTTACCTTTAACAGCTGATTGCATAGGAAGTTTTATTTTCCCGCAGGAAAATCCAATGATTTTCGACTCAGAATGATGGTCTGAATCCACTATTTCAGTATTCGTTACGATGTCCCTTACACCGTGAATAGGTAGGCTATATATCATCACGCTGCCACCAATAGGAGTCGAGCATCAATGAAAAATCAATCGTACTCATCAATCATCATTATCAACAGCCTTTAACAGTCCACTGCTGGACATAGGTTTCTCCTTAGAAAGGAGGTTTTACTATACCACGCTGGCCAGACGGGTTGGTATAAGGTTTGTGTCAAGTTTTTCTTCTTTTTGTAGTGCTGGTGTCCTGTGTTGTTTTGCGTCATTAGTCGGCTCTTACGACACCCACGGGATGAATTGGGGTAGTCACACTCCTTATTCTTAATCCGTTTACTACACGTGCTCATGACACAATATTTGTCCTTGGTGGGATTAGAACCCTAATAATTAGTAAGATAATAAGATGGCCTGTAGTGTTGGAAATTATTGCTACTTTTTAATCATAATCACATGAGAAATGATTGGTTTGACACTGCGACTTCACTAAGGTAAATCACTACTGGTATTTGGTCGTAGACAAAGATACATGCTATCAAAGAAATAACCAAACTTTTCATCAAAGACTACGCCATTTTTTTGTAGATTTGGACCTTTCGTGAGTCTGGCGCTATCGTAATCATAAGTCGCGGTGGTTTTGTAAATTAGTTACTCGTGTAATTATACGATACCGATATGATTTATAACAGATGATTGTAATTTTATTGCAATTCTACTGGCCTGTAGGTCTAGTGGTTAGCAAGCTTAATTGCTAAGCTAGAGGTTAAATGTTTGATTCCTGACCAGGACAACTTTGACCCTATACTATTACAGTAAAACGGTTTCCATATATGGTAACTTTATTTAAGTTAGAAAACCATCAAATATATTGCGGTAGCTCGCATAAGAGCTCGGGGGCCAACCTGTCCCCTGGGTACTCGAAAGTATACAAAGTTAAACCAAGCCGTCCGTCCCGTCGGAGTAGTTCAGTAGAACGCCGTGTGCCATGATCCTGGCATACCTACCATATTCATTAGGGCTTTCATACACGCTCATCGGTTAAGGGTGTTTTAAACGAGAACCTTTTTCACTGTCGATCTGGGCCTTAATTCTGCTATTTTAATATTGTATCAATAGACTGCCGATGGACCGTCGTCGAAATAGTTTTGCACTTTTCGTATTCTACTAACTATGTATGTATGACCACAGGCCTCCCGATGACTTGTCGCTGAACTGCCAATGATACAAATGTCGATGCTTTTGTAATAGTTTGGTAAACGGTAAATTTTAAATTTGTACATATCACCATTGATGAGCCATTGTCACTACATCGACAGTCTATTGACACTGTAAATTTATGTTAGTAGAATACCGATATTTTGACCAAAGTCAATGGAATCTCAATAGCGTGTAAATGGAATAACAGTGGTTTGTACGTTAACATGAAATAGCAGAATTGTGGTCCTGGACAGTATTATATATTTCTAGACCTGCCCGCACCAACTCAACACTCACAGGCACCTTTTTCTAGTCATAAGCTTTTTTTCTTATGGTATAGGGGCAAATGAACAGATAAGATACCTGATGGTAGGCGACTATCGCCGCGGATGGACACCTGCCACTCAAGACGGGGTCACAACCTCTTTAGTTATAATGTAGTTCTTTTAACATAATTTTTAGTTTCATAGCACACATTGGGAGAGCCATGCTTCGGCACGAATGGGCCGGATCGACCGGAGTGATACCACAGCCTCACAGAAGACCGGTGTTAAGCAATTCTTTCGTTGCATTTCACTGAGTGAGTGAGGTTACCGGAGCCCAAATGGGGGGGATTTGGGCGCCGGTAACCGTTGTCCCGCTGGTCCCGCTGACTCGAGCGGGAGGAACTCGAAGGGCAACAACGCACTTGTGACTTTTGAGTTGCAGATGTCCATGGGCGGCGGTAGTTGCTTACCATCAGGTGACGCGTCTGCTCGTTTGCCCCTTATGCCAGAAAAAAAAAATGTTTAAAAATGTTAACTTTTTGACCTCCTACATTTATCTAATTTTACCTCTTTTATATAAATTACTCATTAACCTGGCAAAACTCATTACACCATCAACTACTACTGTCTCTCCGAAACAATTTGATCTATCCTAAGGTCAGCCCCGGATCTAGGGAGGGGCAAAACGGTGGCACCCCCCGGGCGGCAGTTTCAGGGGCCGCCAAAATCATAAAATTGTATTGTTACCTTCCAATCACGTAAAATGACAACCATCATAATATATATATTTGTGAGTGTTTTTAAGTTATTTACCTCAAACGTTGGGAAGGGGGGTGGGGGGACACTATTATTAAGTTTCTGCCCCGGTTCGAAAACATCTTAGATCGGGGGCTAACTAAGGTTGCCTGGAAGAGATTGGTCTTAGCAATAAGGCCGTCCTTTGTACATTACATGTGTTACTATTTGTAA